CAGCCTCCTCCCGAGTGCCGGTGCCCACTTCGAATTTTAAACTGCATTTAGACACCAAGGGCTGTGGGTGCAAGTAGGGTGGTGCAGTGGCATCAGCTGGCATAGGCCAGAAGATGCCCGCACTGCCCGCTCACCACAGCAATAGAATACACCTCATTAACACACAACACTATGTTGGAGCAGGTGGAGGGAGACCAGGGGGTCTTAGCACACCTCTGTTGTTGCTTGGCTGCCTGGGGCTGGAGACTAGGAGGGAGATCTGGCCGTCTGGTTGGGGTCTGGGGTGGTGGGTTGCTGTGCTCGGCGGTGGGCGGGGGAGCCTGCTCATCAGCACCCCAGCAGAAAGGGTCAAACTCTGGTAACCGGTGGTGGTTGTACCCCATGTGCAGCATTACCGGGACCAGAGTGAATAGGGTGTGTATGGGGAGCATGAATGGGTGTCCGGCGTGTATTTTTGTAAGTCTTTGGTTGTATGTGCATGTGTGAGCATGAGGGAGGGAGTGTGTGACTGTGTTTGTGTATGACTGTATATGTCAGGTGGGGCCTTTGACTCCTCCCTTCTCCTGGGACTTCCTTTGATGATATAGATCTTCGTCTCCCCTCCCCCCTGTCACACCTGGTGTGGGTGTGATGCCTGGGTCTGCCTGAGTGTTCGTGGCTCCCGGGTCAGGGAGTTTAAGATTTTTGGCATCTGCCTGATCAATCCCGGTGGCGGCCTGGGGGGGTCTGGGTCCCTGGGCTCTGCTGGGTCCCCGGCGGGGGTGGTCGCCCCTGGGTCCCGGGTCGCTGGGTCCCGGACTCGGCCGGCTAGGGGGTGGGAGGCTGCGGGCAGGCCTGAGGACTTGCCGCTGATATCTCCCGGGGCTCTGCCGGCTGCTGGTTGTGGCCCCCCGGGGCGATCCTCTGTGCCTCTCGAGGGGGGTGGGGGCCTTTCTGGTTGCGGGCTCCTTGGGGTTCCTGTGTTCTGGGGCAGCGCCTGGATCTCTGGGACTTGGAGCTCCCCCCCGTCTCCTACGCGTCTTTGGGGGGCAGATCTGTGGTCCCTCACACTCTCTATTGGACGCTCCTATAGATAAACCTTACATAAACAAGCGCGTGTACACACACAGGTGCTCACATGGTGCTCTCATAAGTATGGGCTTGGGCACGTTCAACACATGTCTTAAGACTATGGTGGGCACTCAATGCACTGTGGTATATTATCGTGTGACGGTTTAGTTAAACAATGATTGATTATATATTTCTTCATCAAGTTGACGCAGTGATAGCTTGATTTTGTTATATTGGTGTTGTGTCCCATTTTTTTGTTATGTTTTGCTTTTTTCTCGTCTCATTTTGCAGGTCTAGAAGCAGACTCTTGTTCATTATTGTTTATTTTTGTTGAATCCCCCCCCCCCACCTAACCCCCTCTCTCCCCACCTTTTCTCTTTTCCTTTCTCTTTCACCTCTGTCTCCGTGTCTGGTCGAAATTACAAAGCATTTAAAAACAATAACAATAAAGTTTTAAATATCAGGTGCGACATTAAAAGCAGACTCTTTGATGCTCCACCTGAGACATTAAAAGCAGATGCTCTGATGCTCCACCTGAGAGTAAAACTGTAAGGCTTGTTACCAGCATTCAGACATCAATTCTGCTTGCTTCACAGCCAGACAGGACACGTTAAAAAAAAAAAAAAAAAAAAAAAAAAAAAAAAAAAAAAAAAAAAAAGGTCCTGACATGTATGCTGCCGGGAAGAAGGCAGAAACATGCGACAGTGCCTAGCCCGGGCTCAGGGGCCTCAGGTAGACCTTGGCTCCTCTGCTGTCCCATCACAGCGGAGGGGGATGTCCAGGAGGGGGAGAACCCAACTTTACCTGGATGTCCTATGTCTTATATATTCTGGAAGTTGTACAAATGCAGGGATGGGAGTAGACATTCTGCTGGGGTGGGGCTGGGTTGGTGCCCTCGGACTCCGTGAGGCTCTGTGATGCTGCTGCTTTGGGCCCTGGCGAGATGGGCTGGGGTCTCCATGCCCTGGGTGGCATTTTGGCAACGGAGGTGCCTATTGGGGCCAGTGGGGGAGCTGGCTCCCTGGAGGGCCAACCAGCCATTCCTCCCCATCCCCTCACATTTTTCTCCTCCTGCTCCCTCACATCATCACACAAACATACACATAGGACCTTGGGGGGTAGACAAGTCAGGGGTGAAGGTATGGACCACATTTCTGCATTCCTGTGGCAACCTGACCCCCAATTTTATTTGCACATTAAACACTTCCACCAACGACATTCCACTCAAACACACACTTAGGGCCTTAGGAGAGAGCACATTCAACGACATTTGGCAGGAGGATTTTTCAGCCTCCTCCCGAGTGCCGGTGCCCACTTCCAATTTCAAACTGCACTTAGACACGGAGGGCTGTGGGTGCAAGTGGGGTGGTGTGGTGGCATCAGCTGGCGTAGGCCAGACGATGCCCGCACTGCCCGCTCACCACAGCCATGGAATAAACCTTATCAACATGCACTAACACTAAATTGGAACCGGCGGAGGGAAACTAGGGGTCTTAGCACACCTCTGTTGTTGCTTGGCTTCCCGGGGCTGGAGGCTAGGAGGGAGATCTGGCCATCTGGTTGGGGTCTGGGGTGGTGGGTTGCTTTGCTCCACGTTGGGCGGGGGAGCCTGCTCATCAGCACCCCAGCAGAAAGGGTCGAACTCTGGGAACCAGTGACGGTTGTACCCCATGTGCAGCAGTACCGGGACCAGAGTGAATATGGTGTGTATGGGGAGCATGAGTGGGTGTCCGGCATGCACTATTGTAAGTCTTTGGTTGTATGTGTGAGCATGACGGAGGGAGTGTGTGACTGTGTGTATGACTGTATATGTCAGGTAGGGCCTTTGACTCCTCCCTTCTCCTGGGACTTCTTTTTATGATATAGATCTTCGTCTCCCCTCCCCCTGCCACACCTGGTGTGGAGTGTGGTGCCTTGGTCTGCCTGAGTGTTTGTGGCTCCCAGGTCAGGAAGTTGAAGATTTTTGGCATCTGCCTGATCAATCCCGGTGGCTGCCTGGTGGGATCTGGGTCCATGGGCTCTGCTGGGTCCCCGGCGGGGTTGGTTGCCCCTGGGTCCCAGGTCCCGGGCTAGGGGGTGGGAGGCTGCGGGCAGGCCTGTGGGCTTGTCGCTGATATCTCCTGGGACTCTGCTGGCTGTTGGTTGTGGCCCCCCAGGGCAATCCTCTGCACCTCTCGAGGGGGGCAGGGCTTTTCCTGGTCGCAGTCTCCCTGGGGTCCCTGTGCTCTGAGGCAGCTCCTGGATCTCTGGGACTTGGAGCTCCATCTCCTACACATCTTTGGGGGGCAGATCTGTGGCCCCTCACACTCTCTATTGGACGCTCCTATAGAGAAACCTTACATATACAAGTGCGTGTACACACACAGGTGCTCACATGGTGCTCTCATAAGTATGGATTTGGTTCAACACATGTCTTAAAGCTGTGGTTGGCACTAACGGCACTGTGATTTATTATCGTGTGATTGTTCAGTAAAACTATGTTGATTTTATATTTCTTCATTAAGCTGATACAGTGATAGTTTGCTCCTGTTGTATTGTTGTGTGTCCCATTTTTGCAGGTCTAGAAGCAGACTCTTGTTCATCATTGATTGTTTATTTTTGTGGAACCCCCCACCTTTTGTCTTTTCCTTTCTCTTTCACCTCTGTCTGGTCAGAATTACAAAGCATTCAAAAACAATAACAATAAAGTTTTAAGTATCAGGCGTGACATTAAAAGTAGACGCTTTGATGCTCCACCTGAGAATAAATCTGTAAGGCTTGTTACCAGCATTCAGACATAAATTCTGTTTGCTTTACTCGCTCATCCCTATAAATGACATCCAACAAACATCCAGATGTGTTTTATAAACCAGACATCACACCTTTCTGAGTCCCTTAGGAAACTCTTAAACACACCATGTCATGTTTCACCAGAGTTCATTCATTGTCTCATTTAACATCACTGTGTCACCATTCATAATCATTTACCTTTCATCATCATTAATATAGTAATAAATAGATTATTAGAAACTATATTTTTGTCTCTGAGTCTAATTATTATAAAGTGTTGTTTCCGTGGATTAACCAAATTACCAAGTTCATCTTCAATCTGATGTTAAAGGTTCAATGATATTGATTATCCATATTTTTATGGAATATTACATTTTATTGATAACATTTATTGTCATGGTTCTGTTTTTTTACACATCATGTTTTGCTCCTCTGAGCTTGTTGCAGGTGGGCGTGTCGGAGAGGCTCAGCTGTGGCTGATTTCCCATCAGCAAGGCCAGGGGATTTAAGGGGAGGCGTTGCCACACTTCAGCGCCACTTGATACTCTCACGATGGGTAACCTCCAGCCTCGGCCTGTCCCAGTCAGATTTGTTTGTAAACTCTCGTGATTTTGACTTGTTCTTATTCAGCCTTCCCTGTTCACAGAAGTACCCGTCCTGGATCAGAGTCTCAGTCCCAGCCTGCCTGAAGTGTGTTGATCTCAGCATCGCTCACCTCCCCTGGCCGTCCGCTCTCCACCGTCCACCTGCCCTGGATCTTCCTCAACAACTAACCACTCACCTCAGCCTGACCCATCTCAGACCAGGCCCGACCTGACCTGTCTCCCCTTCCAGCCCATTCTCAGCCCAGCATCGTAAGACCATTCCAATTTCCATTTATTCCCCGATTCTCAGATTCCTGTTTCTTACCCGTCTGTTCTTCTGTTTTAGACCCGGAATCTCATCCTGTCCCACTTATCAAACAGCATCCTTAGTTTCCATTTTAGCTACTTTTACAATAAACATTTTGTAATCTCTAACCTGTTTTCCGTGTGTGACTCTTTCATGTGGGTCAGGAGACTTCCACCCATCATGACATTTGTGTTCTACTGACAAATGTAACCACCTACTAATGATTACACTAGAGATACAGTGGTATGGTGGTCATATTCACATCTGAAATCCAGTGTTTGCAAGCTCACCTGGGCAAACGTCTTTAGTGCAGTCAAGCCTGCCACCTGTACAAGTGCTGCAGCCATGCAGAGAAGATCAAGTATTATTTATGATGTAGATGAGTGTTGGTTTTGGTGCATACGTGGCTTCTTCTCACCAGTTGTTACACCCATCAGGAGCTACAGACATTTCTCCTGGTTCCAGGCGCTGTCCTGAGCTGAGGTCCAAACAAGGACAATCTTGTCTCGCTACACACACCTTCCCATTGGCTGACAGGACCTTGCCCTCTGTGCAGTAACACCCCGGCTCACAATGCCACTCGCAGCGCTGAAAGGTATTTCACCCAAATGTAGTTATGTGTAACTGTGAATGAGAGCATCCTCCTTAGCTCTACTTACAGACAGATCATCACAGGATCGAGGGCAGGAGGGCCCACAGCTACTGAACACTGTCCCTGGGACCTGGGAGCACGGTGGCACTGAAACAGAGAGAGACAGGCCCACAGTTGGCTTCCGGACCCACGGTTGGAACAACACCCTCATTCAGCCTGAACGTGTACCTGGACAGTGGTCAGTGTTACAAGCTTTGACTTGGGTCCCCAGCCCCTCACAGAAGTTTCCCTCCGCCTCTGGAGTTGGGTTGTCACAGTTTCTCCATCGGCTCTGCACCCCTCCACCACACGACTTGGTGCACTCGGTCCAGTTACTCCATGGGCTCCAGCCTCCATCACCTTAACAGAGTTCCATCATGAACAAATCTGTTCACTGCCACCTTAAATACTTCAGGTTAAGTGTGAGAACTTCATCCAGCCAAAGTAACACAAATACACCCACGGTCACATGAGGCGATGAGGCAGACCTGGTCCTCACGGTGAGGACCAAAACATGGAAGACCACTGCCAGATTGCTGGGGACTCGAACAGAAACGATAGCGAGACTGGAAGCCTGCCCCGCACAGCGCTGAGCACTGGCTCCAGGGTGTCCACGCAGACCACTGGCCATCCACTACAGTGGGTGTTAGCATGGAACAACAAGTTTTAATGGCTAGAACGTGCTTTAGTGCATGTCAGAAAAGAAAAACAAACCATTGTTCAGATTCTTACCATTGCAGCTGATTTGGGAACAATTAACCAGCCTTCCTCCTTCACATATACTGAAATATAACACATTAAATAAATTTGACTGATTAACACAAGCCCACCTTATAACTGACCATACTCTCACCAGCTATCACACAGTCTGGGGACAATGCCTCCAGGATGGTACAGGTTTCCAGGAAGACCACATAGGCAGTCAGACTCAGGTACACATGAACCATCCTGCAAATACATAAAAACTGGATTATTATTAGTTGGGGGGGGGGGGGGGGGGGCACTGCCCAGCGTACAATGGGATGAGTGTATTTCTGTCTCCATGCACCTGCAGGACAGTCCCATGTGGACACTGGCAGCCTGGAGTACAGTTCCGACTGAGGTTCAGCATGATGTCTGTACAAGACACAGGTCCTAGCAAACACGGAGTCCACTGCTGGCCTAAAGGACACGTCCTGCCATCCCCTTACACAGCAACACACAAACATGGGCGAGAATATTCAGAGGGTCACTATGCATGCTGTACAGAGATGTCCAATTTCCATTCTGCTCCCTCATGGACTGATATTCACAACTCTCACAACAATTAAAATTAAATTGTAAAAAACAAAATCTAATATTTACTTGGGGGTGCTATGACTAATCCAGGGGTAGCTATAGCGCCCCCTAGTGACCCCCCTGGTGCTGCCACTGGAGTTAACTTTATGTGCATGTGTACAAGTCATGGGACGTAATCTGCCACTTTTTATTCAGTCCTCAGGACTGTTTATAGTGAAGCTGATGAAGAGAGGCAGCAGACAGCTTCCTTCTTCAGGAAAGGAGGAGTTTATTAACACTCATTTGACCCTAGTGCATTTTTTTGTGCTCAAAGGACATGAACGTTAGAAAATTAAAGGATTATGTAAGGGTTAAAGCATATTTCAACCTCCTCTCTAGCACCTTTAGATCTGTTGTTGTTTCTTCAGAAGCCCAGCAAAGAAGAGAGGAGTTCCCACTGACCCCAGTAGCTACGCTAACACGTGTGATGTTCATGATTCTGCTGCATCCTTCATCATCCTGGTCCTGATCCAGGTTCTGCAGAAGCCTGGTAATCACCTGCAGCAGCTCATCAGGTTCTGCAGAAGCCTGGTAATCACCTGCAACTCATCACCGCTGCTCTACGATTCATCATTAAAGTTTTTTTTTATTGCTGACAGGAACTTCTGCTCTGTCCCGACCAAGGTAATACTCTCTGACACTTGTTTGGTTATTTTGCAAGTTTTCTTTTATTCTGGGTAGAACGTAGGGAGTCCCCTTGCCTGCTGAGGATGCAGCGTGACCAAATATGTTTAACTGAGGGCGTTTCTGTCTGTAAATGACTGAGCATGGATGCCAGCACCTGGGTAGCACAGGTGGGATTTATCATCAGACGAGTGCGGAGGAGCGTGCGTACGAGAGGCCACATCATGGTTTATAGATCAGAATTTTGATCGTCCGTACCAACTTTCTAGATTCCATTCATAGGAAGGAATTTAGGAATTTTTCTAAGAATGTTTGATGAATGAGGGCCCAGAACTCCATGCAGAAGCTCTCCGGAGCTCCACATCCAGATGTGCACCGAACCAAACCGCAGCCAGTGTGAATGTTCTGATTGGACTCAACGAATGTTGGTCTATGTGGAGGCCGTGCAGAAACTGGACTGCGTCAGTTCCACAGAAGGCGGTCAGTAAATATAATAACATAGTTGTGACGTCATCATCCTTTGGTTTCAAAAGCAGTATGCATCAAATGTCACGTCTCTGACAAGAGAGTACTCTCCAATGAAATCAGTCAACGTGAACGTTTGCCCTGACAACAGTGCTGTGTGTCATCCACAGGTACCACAAGGCTGCAGGTTGCAGGCGCTGAACTGCTGAGAAGTGCCATGGATTCTGATGGGTCCACGGGTTCGAGTCCTGTAACCTCCTCCACACGTCACCGAACATGCTGACCACATGGTCCATGGCTCTTTTACACCTCCAGACACATCACAAATGGACTTTATGGACATTTCAAACACAAATTGTGTAGAACCAGCTTTATTCATCCCTCCTTCTCACCAAAGCAGGGTTCAGTGCTGCAGGTGTCAATCCCGACTCTCTCTCCTTTGCAGGGATGTCCCCCAAAGGCTGGAGGTGGGTTGTTTCCTGAGCGGTACCTCTTTCTGACACCGACATCACAAGTTCGACTGCAACCACTCCACTGTGTCCAGCTGCTCCAGCCACAGTCCACTAGGATAAAACACAGACATGGAGCTGGTTTACTGGTGAAAACACAATATGGTTTGAAACTCTGTATAAATAACTGACCAGGGCAGGGAACTGTCTCACACTCCATCTTTCCATTAGTGCAGGTGCTGTTGGAGACACGGTGGAAAGAAAATGAAGCACATTCCTGCAGCAACAGCAGGTTTGAATAGTAGGTGAACTTCACTTAGAATGAGATGACATGGTACCAGTTGTTACACGAGTCAACAGGCAGGATGGCACCTGCTGGGTGTAGCTCCCCCTGGTGGTAACATGGGCACTGTTCTAAAGGCACACAGCTGTTGTTGAATAGGAAGGAGCCCGGTGCGCAGTAGCAGCCATCGTAGCAGGTGGTGGCACACTGGACCTCTGGGGAAGTCATATCTGAACACACCCATGGACATGCTCCGCCTTGACCTTCACACTCAGCAGCTGTCATGTTCACCATGCCCTCCGGACAAACACCTAGAGGAAGCCAAAGGCCGATGCTTGAGTGGGATAATGCTTTAAAAAATAAGCATGACATTCATTTGTTCCAGGAGCACGAAGGCATACCTAAACAGGGATGAGCGTTGCAGGCCCGTGTTTGCATGTGAGGCCCGGTGCACATTTTACCTCCGTGTTGTTGTGCAGGTGAAGTACAGAACCTCTCCCTGGTCTGAACACCACAGCTACATTCAGCTGAACATTGAGACCACTGGGTCCAGAGCGACCATCCACCATGCACTGAAAAATACCAATGAGATCAACCTAGAGAGGTTTCGATGTTTACCAGCCGCTGATTGGTGGAAAAGGGGTTTCCTTACCCTACCTGGACAGGGCACAGTGTTGCAAGGCTCCTGCTCCTCGTCATCTTCATCACACAAACGTGGTGTATGTGTGTGGTTGAACATTAATAGTGTATGATTGCAGCTACGAAATCGTCGTCGGACTCCCACGTTGTCTACGTGGCTGAGACACGTTTTACTGCACTCGGACCAGTCAGTCCACACACCATCAGGTAGGACTGCACACCATGATGAACACAAAAGTAGTCATTACTGACAGGGTTGGTCTGGAAATGTGGATCCATATGCTGTGGCACAAGTAAAAACACCAAACTAAACATTTCTACAAATGATAGAATCACTGTTGGATGGGGTGGCGTACCAGAGAGGCATGGGCGGGAGCAACGCCGGGACTCAGAGGAGTCTCCTGGACAAAGCTGGACTTGGTCTGATTCTGCTGGAACCATCGCTGACCTAAGCAAACATAACTCAGATGTACCATGACTGTGTTTGGTTTATACGTGGCAGATCATTTGAACAACGCTGGAGAAACACCGTTGCTATCATTAGGCTACTTTTACAGAGGTGGTGGTGCAGAAATACAGGAGGGAAGTGCGGGCTAGGCGCTATCGGTGGATGGGTGGGTGGTGACTAAGGAGCGTCATGGGATTGTGATCAATGACCAAATGCAAGATCAACACCAAACCACATTAAATAACAGCTGGTGTTGATTATTCAAATAAAAAGTTGAGCATTGACTTGTACATAATTAGTTACTGAATACGAGGCTTGGTAGACAATGCACACAGTGGAACACCTCGTAGAATGTCTTTTACTGGACTTAGCCAACATGTAAGGAAAGGAAATTGGTTCTGATGTTCAGGAACCACCATGGCTTGTGTGGACCATGATCAGGAGCATGCTGGAACACAGTGAAGCCTGTCTCATATCCCCATGGGCTGAGAGAGTACAGAAACAGACGCCTTCAATCTTGACTGGCATCTGCTGTTGTCCACATGAACAAAACCTGTGTCTTCTGGAGAAATATTTCATGGTCAGACAAAACCAAGTCAAGGTGAGACTTTCAGACCTAATGACAGTGTACCTTCTGTCAGCATAGTGGTAGTTGTGCATGGAAAAGAGAAGAAGGACCACCTCCACATTCACCTGAAATGATCAGCTGATGGCTGAAACTTGGACAGAATCTTGTTCAGGAAAGCTGCTCACCTGTAGCGCTGCTGTAGCCCAACACCACAGGATGCAAGACATGGTGACCATGATGACCAGACAGACCAGGTGCAGGTTGGCAAACAGCGGGATGTGTTGCAGTTGACTTGTCCATCTTCACACATGCTAGCAGTTTAAAACAGTTATTTACTATAAATAATTCCAAATAATAATAACAAAGAATCCTATCTCCTGCATTAGTTTCTGATAGAAAATAGTCTCCTACACCTATCTCCTGCATTAGCTTCTGATATAAAATAGTCTCCTACACCTATCTCCTATTTCAGCTTCTGATAGAAAATAGTCTCCTACACCTATCTCCTGCTTCAGCTTCTGATAGAAAATAGTCTTCTACATCTGAAAGGTTATACTATAAAGCGTCTTTTCAGAAAAATCAGTTTTAACTCTGAAAATTAACACCAACACCACAGGACAAAGGCAGGTATTTTACACTGAATTTCAATGAATTGACTGACAGAGTTCCCATACTCTGACACTGCTTATTTAACACTTTTTAGTACGTTACTCATTAGTACATTACTGTGTACTAATGAGCGTTTGTCAACTGTCTCATATTCGTTGATTGTCATGTCCTGCGTCCCCCTCATGTGTCTCCTTGTGTTCCCCAGCCCTCTCTAGTTTCCCCTTGTGTCAGTATCTCCCTTTGGTTCATTTTTGCTTCCTTCCCAGTCTGGTTTCCTCCCCTGCTCCTGCTCTCGGTTCTTAGTTTCACCTGTGTCTAATTACCTTAATCACCCAGACCCTGTGTATATAACCCTGTCTCTGTCTAACTGTGTTGTCGGCCCATTGTTGATGTTGTCAGCCTTGTTTTTGTCCTCCTCGAGTTTCCCAGGTCCTTTGTGCCTTTTGGATTTTGCTTCTCCTCCTTAATAAAAGGAATTTATTTTCTTACAACCTCTCCTCCCTCAAGTCATTCTGGGTTCTGCATTCTGGGTTCGACCTCCTCCTGCCGTATCGTGACAGTTGGTATCCGTTCACCTAACATAGTTTAGCTTAGAGAGAGGGAGAGACGCCTGTCACCTAGTTCTGGAGCTCATTCGGGCTTCTGTGAGCTGGATTCGACCAAGACACCAGCAAACCAGTCCAGCTGGTACTTTTATTTATTTATTTTTTTCCCCGTGTCCTGTCTGGTTGTGGAGCAAACAGAATTAATGTCTGAATGCTGGTGACAAGCCTTACAGATTTACTCTCAGGTGGAGCATCAAAGCTTCTGCTTTAATGTCACACCTGACACTTAAAACTTTATTGTTTTTGTTTTTTGAATGCTTAAAATTCCGACCAGACACGGAGAAAGAGGTGAAAGAAAATGGAAGAGACAAAAGGAAGGGGGGGTTCCACAAAAATAAACAATCAATGATGAACAAGAGTCTGCTTTTAGTCCTGCAGAAGGAGAAACACAACAAACAACAATACAACAGGAGCAAACTATCACTGCGTCAACCTGATGACGAAATAGATAATCAACTCTTTTACAGGACAATCACTATAATAAATCACAGTGCATTAAGTGCCAACCACAGCCTTAAGACATGTGTTGAACGTGCCCAAGTGCATACTTAGAAAAGCACCATGTGAGCACCTGTGTGAGTACCCTCTGAGTACTCGCGCTTGTATGTGTAAGGTTTCTCTATAGGAGCATCTAATAGAGAGTTTGAGGGGCCACAGATCTGCCCGCAAAGATGCGTAGGAGATGGAAGGAGCTCCAAGTCTCAGAGATCCAGGAGCTGCCCCAGAGCGCAGAGACCCCAGGGAGAATGTGACTAGAAAAGCCCCAACCCCCCTCAAAAGGCTCAGAGAATTGCCCCGGGGACCACAACCAGCAGCTGGCCGAGCCCGGAACCCAGCGACCCGGGACCCAGGGGCGACCAGACCCGCCGGGACCCAACAGAGCCCAGGGACACAGATCCCACCAGGCAGCCACCAGGATTAATCAGCCAGATGCCAAAAATCTTAAACCCGCTGACCCGGGAGCCGCGAACACTCAGGCAGCCCAAGGCACCACACTCCACACCTAGTGTGGCAGGGAGAGGGGAGGCGGAGATGTAAAGCAGCAAAAGAAGTCCCAGGAGAGGGGAGGAGTCAAAGGCCCCACCTGACATATACAGTCATACACAGACACAGACACAGTCACTCCCTCCCTCCCTCATGCTCACACATACAACCTAAGACAGTAGTCCGCAAACGGCGGCCCGCGGGCCACGTCCGGCCTGCGAGTCCTCTCTTTGTGGCCCCCAAACCCCGCGCAAACCCCCCACCCCCACCCCTGACGGCCGACCGGGAGGTTTAGGATAGAGCTGAGGAAAATAATCAAATAATCAATGCATGAGATGCGGGCATAAACGGTTTTACATCATAGAAGAGTACTATAATCAATTATAGTGGAATGTAGTTGTGTTATTTTAATGTGACATTGCTTTTCTTAGTAAGATGAGGGTTAGTAAAAATTCTTGGTTAGATGAAGGTATTTTAATATTCTGATTAAAATAATGCATAATTTGGAGATATTGAAAGAAATCATCAGATCCCAACACATGTTTTTACTTCAGTGTCTCAAATGTTTGAAACACCCCCTCGTGGATGAAGGACGTGTAGCTGGTTCACCCGTTGGAGATCCATGCTTTGAATCTGTTATCGTATTTGTTAGGTGTAACGTCTGAGTCAATAGCTCGCCATCACAAAATTTTTAACATTTTTAATTTTCTTCCCAGACTGTTAACATCAAGCCAGGATGGAAAAAGTATGAGGCAACACATCAAGCAGAAGCCAAGCTAGCACATCAGGCATGGATCCAAGCAGGAAGACCCAGAGCAGGGTCGGTCCTGGAATATAAAAAGCTTACCAGAGCGAGGTATAAATATGACATTCGCTACATTGTAAACCATGAACAGAACTTGAGAGCGGACTCTATGGCTGAAAAGCTTTTATCTAATAATGTGAGGGGCTTCTGGAATGAGGTGAGGACTTTGAACATGACTAATACTGCACTGCCCAGTGCCATAGAGGGAGTCTCTGGGGCTGATAATATAGCAGAGTTATGGAGACAAGTACTTTGACTTGTATGACTGTGTCAAAGGTGAGCCATACAAGGTAGGAAATGTTACTAGCAGGGATGCAGTGATTATCACTCCCTGTGAGGTGCGACAAGCCATAGCACACTTGTCTAACAACAAGGCAACAGGCTCAGATAAATTCTCAGCAGAACATCTGAAGTTTGCAAGCTCCAGGATTGCTGTACGCCTGGCCCTTTGCTTCTCTGGGTTCATGACCCATGGTCTGCTGCCTGACTCTTTATTGTCTGTTACCTTAGTGCCTGTCATCAACAACAAAACTGGTAAAGTTGGGAGCCTGGATAACTACAGGCCAATAGCCTTAGCTAGTGTTGTTTCTAAGGTACTGGAAAAGATATTGCTTGATCGACTTTCTCACTATATAACGACACACCACCAGTTCGGTTTTAGATCCAAGCTGGGAACAGATCTGTGAATCAATGGCCTGAAGGAAGCAGTTCATCTTTGAGACAGAACTCCTCAGTGATGATGGGGTTTATTGATGCACCATAAGCTGGGCGGACACTGTGTGACTGTTTCACTCGTAGCACTCAGCTTCAGCTCAAACTGTACAACTTCCTCGCAGGGCAGATCTCACGAATCATGTGCTCACACTGTACGACCCAGTTCTTGGATGCGACCTGACTGCTCACACTGTACGTCTGGTAGCAACACGTCGGACCTAAAAAAAATATGCTAAAAATAGCAGTTTTTATACAACACATCAGACTTTTTTGTCTTGTTTTGCCTGTTGTCCTTCGGGAGTGCCGCAGGAGGACACACAGGGATTTATGCGGGTTGGATGAGGAAAACGAAATAAAGAAAGTAAATCTGTGTTTTGTGATCAGTTTAATTTGACATGAGCATGGCGAACACGCTTTCTTGACAATCCTTGTCACTGTGTGTGAAAAAAACATTTAGAAAAATGACCGAGTCTTCACTAATACCATGCAGACGCACACCTATCTGGAATAGTCCTGATATTTTGCAAAATAACAAAATGATGAACCTTCCGGAATGGAAACATAAAGGAATCCTATACCTGGAACACATATATGAAGGACTGGACTTCGTTCCATTTAATAGAATAGTCTCCCAATTTGGAATAGATAATAGCTTTTTAGAATACCACCAAATTAAATCTGTAGTAAAACAAAAATTTAAGCTCAATAAAATAGAATTACAAACACCACCAAGGGTATTTGACTTCTATAATCTCAAACCCACCAAACTACTGTCTAAAGTATATAAGACACTGTCCAAAATAGACAATAGAATAGCAATCCCTATTGAAAAATGGGAGGTGGATCTATCAGTCAGCTTTGACCAGAACTTCTGGTCCCAAACTTGTTTAAAAACTTTTAAAATGATCAGACACTCAATTTACAATTAATTCAGTACAAAATTCTACACAGAGTACACTATACAGGTCATCGGATGTTCAAGATGGGGTTTGTGTCATCTGACACCTGTACACACTGCACAAACAACATTCCTGACAATTACATTCACGCACTGTGGTCCTGTCCACCTGTCCAGGAATTTTGGGGTAGAGTATGTGAAGACCTGTCAAAGTGTCTGAAATGACATATCCCAACCACCCCCTCTCTTTGTTTACTGGGAAACCTGGATGATGTCCTGATTGAAACATCTTTGGCTCACGTGGTTCTGACTGCCATATGCATCGCTAAGAAATCTATCCTCTTGAATTGGAAAAATAAAGAAACTCTCTGCATTAACCAGTATAGAAATCTTTTGTTAGATCATATTGCACTTGATATAGCCTATGCTTCCACTTCAGATGAATCTCTCTGGGCTCCTTTGATCGGTTCCATCACATAGCGGGGGTGGGGGGCTGTTGATGTTGTCCTGCGGGATGGTGTGGGTGGGGGGGGTGTGGGGTCTGAGTTTGGAGTATCCGGATGTTCCCTGGAGGTGGGTTCACTGGGGGGTGTCTGGGACTGGGGGGCCGTTGCCCCCCTCTGGAGGTGCTTGGGTTGCCTCGGGGGGTGGACTGCTGGCGGTTGTGAGTGGGGCCCCTTGGTGATCTTGGCGGTG